TGATTCGGGTCGCGACCAATTTGGGTTGCGACCAGAGTCGCGGAATGAATTAAGTTCGTGACCCGAGGTACCACTGTATTCTCACAAAAAGCCCTACAATATGCTTTGGGGTGGGTGGGGGGAACTTGCACATTCACAAAATGAATCCCACAATAAGAATGGGAAATCATAAAACATTTATCAGAAGGCAATTACTCCTCAGGGATGCTGTTTACCAGCCCCAAATAACTTTGTCTCTATCCTTCCAGTTTCCATTATGGAGGTGGGCATGCTCCAAACTGCACAATGATGCAGTCTTCCATCACTTTATTCTTAAATATTACAGAAGTATTCTTGGAATAAAACATGATGTTGGAGACAGGCATTTTCTTCTCCTTTGCAATATTCCTTCTTTAGGGAACAACAGCAGCATTTTTTAAGCATTATGTCAGATGGGGCAGGGAACATGATGGATATTAAGGAAGGAATCTGGGAGCACACGAAGGTTATTTACCTCAGACAAGACAGACCCACGTGTACACATCCGAAATTCTGTAATGGTAAGGAACGCAGCTCAAACTAATACAATCCCCCAAATCTCTTCAAAAGACAAAATATTGAATTGCATTTTTCTAAGGTAGCCGCTGGAAAATAAAGATCACACCCAAATAGGGACAGGATATTTAGAGCATATTAACCGCTTTTACCTTCTGTTTTTACATCGTTCTGTAAAGCAGATATAAAACTACAACAAATACTTTCTTTTGCTGGACTCCTGAAGCAGGCTTCGTTAAAATCGCCCACGTTTTTGAATGGAAAGAAATTATCTTGCACTGCTAACCTTATCTAAGCGGAAAACAAAACAAAGTGAAACGACGGGCGGTGTCAGTTTCCCAAAGCTGTGGACTGGGTCGCGCTGGGTAAATGCCGACCGGAATTGAAGGGAAAAGCATCTGGAAGCTACAAACTCAGCCCCACAAAAACAACGCACCAATTAAAACACGGAACTAAGATTTGTACCACTCTTTAGTTTATTTCAGTGTTTCTCAACCTTGGCGACTTTAAGATGTGTGGACTTCAACCCCCAGAAAACCCCCCCAAGACTTGCTCGCTCCGCGGGCGGGGACTGTTGGGGGTTGAACGCACACACTATACTCCACACGGCTGGTTGTGCGCGTTG